ACCGCTGTAGCTTTGGAACAATTTCTTTTATTTCAGAAAACATCTGATTTATTTTTTTGTTTCACTATATCCTACTTACTCGTTTGGTTTAACATAATTAATACAAAAATCCCCAAACAGCAGTCTAGTAATGGTTTACAATCCCTCCAGATTGTATCTATGTGTTAACAATAGGAAGCCTGCGCTAATAGGACTTAACGTAAACCAGTATTTATCTAAGCGCACGATAGTTTTTATAAACCACAGAGGACTGAAAATGTCAATTCGTTCAATCAGCTCAGTGAACTGTGATCACAGAATTACAGTTTGGAAAAAAATTATTCCATGTAATGGAACTTTCAATATTCAGAGCCCAGGGTTGTGGTTTAACAAGCCATTTCATTTAATCATTACTTTCTAAAAGTGCCGTAGCCAATAACCCTGTATCTTTTCTTGAACTGGGACTAGGATCAGAGGTTACCTTACCTTTGAAAAACTGTTAGGGACACGTGTAAACCTGACTGCTCTGGTGCTCGTTTCTGTGAGAAGCACGTGGGAGACACGTAGTAAGCGTTTTGTCTCCTTGTGCACTTAGGGCAGCTGGGAACCCTAAGTAGTTAGGAAAATCACAGAAAGTGTCAAGTGGGCAGGTTTCTGTTCTTNTCCCCCCAGGTCACGGGCCTCAGCGTGGAGACGGGGACCCGGCGCCACACATCTGATCCAGCCCCTGTGACTATGAGGTGACCCTGGGCAGGCGGCCCTCACACAGTCTTAGTAACAGGGGCCTTTGGGTGAGGAAAGCACTAAAGCCCCCGTCCTTCCAGCCTATGGGTCAAGGTCTGTCTACCAGGTGACCTTGAGATCACTGCGACTGACTGTGGGCCGAGTTTTCTGGGGCGACACCTCTAGGAAGACCCTCTCATCCAGCTCTCCTGGCTTGCAGCTCCATGGACCTACCAGACAAGACCGCTGTAGCTTTGGAACAATTTCTTTTATTTCAGAAAACACCTGATTTATTTTTTTGTTTCACTATATCCTATTTACTCGTTTGGTTTAACATAATTAATACAAAAATCCCCAAACAGCAGTCTAGTAATGGTTTACAATCCCTCCAGATTGTATCTATGTGTTAACAATAGGAAGCCTGCGCTAATAGGACTTAACGTAAACCAGTATTTATCTAAGCGCACGATAGTTTTTATAAACCACAGAGGACTGAAAATGTCAATTCGTTCAATCAGCTCAGTGAACTGTGATCACAGAATTACAGTTTGGAAAAAAATTATTCCATGTAATGGAACTTTCAATATTCAGAGCCCAGGGTTGTGGTTTAACAAGCCATTTCATTTAATCATTACTTTCTAAAAGTGCCGTAGCCAATAACCCTGTATCTTTTCTTGAACTGGGACTAGGATCAGAGGTTACCTTACCTTTGAAAAACTGTTAGGGACACGTGTAAACCTGACTGCTCTGGTGCTCGTTTCTGTGAGAAGCACGTGGGAGACACGTAGTAAGCGTTTTGTCTCCTTGTGCACTTAGGGCAGCTGGGAACCCTAAGTAGTTAGGAAAATCACAGAAAGTGTCAAGTGGGCAGGTTTCTGTTCTTGCATCCAGGACTACAGCAATGCAATTACATGTAGTTATTAAGTCATAGCTGACAAACCCCACGCAAAGTCGAATTCCTGAGCAGGTACCTGTAGAGCGGAGCTCAGGACACGTGCGCGGCCGAGGGCGGCTGAGGGCCTCGCTGCACGTAGAGGCTCCGCTTTTACGAAGGTGTGAGCACATTATGAACACCCGTGTGCACTGTGACTGCCCCCTCTTCTAATTCTCAGTGACAGAGGACTGGGGGCCACGCACGGTCCAGGCACTGTTGGCGGATGATAAATGCATCAAGCATAAATGCTCACGGTCTCAAGCAACAGCAGAGGGCAGAACTTTGGGAAGACACAGGGGCTGCCCTGCCTGCCCTTTGAGAAGCGCACGTGCCCAGTGGGTGGAGAATGGCAGAGTCCCGGGGCTCCGAGCGGTCAGTGGCCCAGTTTCTTTCACAGGCAGGTGGGAAGGGCCACGTCTAAGTGAAGTCTTCTCAGAGAGGTGGGAACACAGGGGCTCGTCCCCCAGTCTTGGCCTCTCCCGGGCCCACCTGCTTGACCAAAGCCAACCCCCTTCCAGGTCCAGGACAATGTCACCTTCACTGTGAAGCCTTCTCAGAAGTGTCCCCGTGGAAGGCCCCCCTGACACCTGAGACCCTCGTGCCGGTCAGCTGCCCTGTTCGCATCACACCCGTCGTGTGTATCGCCCATCACTACGAGTGGTTTCGCCCTGGGCTTCCGCTGCCACTCCCAGGTCACTGCCATCAGGTCTGCACTGCACCTTCCTCGCCTGTGTCCGCCCGCAGCCTCTCGGACAGTGGCTGCCACTCGTGAACATCTGTTGGAGGTTTATGTTAATGGAAGAATCCAGAAGGAGATCCCAAAGGCTCAAAGGGGCTTTACAAGCTTGTTTAGGGGCCGTCGGAGCTCACCTCCCGCTCTGCCTTGCTGAGGAAAATCGTGTTCTCCAGACACCGGATCACCACAAGGCAACTGCTTTTTAAACCGCATGCATCCTAAGATGATGCAACCTCACTGTTGATTTGGGTCATTTTAGGTCCTCAAATTGAATTTCCTACATAGTCCATTAATGGCATTATTCCTGGAATTTTCTCGAGTGCCCCGGGTGACGAGAGAGCCGTGACAATGCTTTTTAGCCTTTCCATCGTCAGACCTTCGTGCTTCACTGGAGGACGAGCCGCCTCCTTCTCACTTTCACCTCAGTGTCCATGGCTGGCCAATAACCTAAGCGCGTGTCTTACGGGCTCAGGGGTTCTCTCGGGGCCACAGACGGGGCTCGGCTCCGGCCAGCGGGTGGGAATGGCGTCACTGGCCAGGGGCAGGGCTGCTGTTTCCTGAGGTGGCAGACGGGGCCCTGCTGATGGCCAGAGGCGGGAGCTCCCAGCCAGGACGGTCTTCACAGGCTGACGGGACAGCCGGGCTGGGAGTGGGGTCCTCCCCCCGACAGCCGGACTCGGAGCTGGCTCATTGCTGCACTCTGCGGTTTGGGGCAGGGTGCTCGCCTCTCCGAGCTGAGTGTCTGTGTTTTTCTAATGGTGACAGCACTATCTACGTGTCACATGATGGTGACACACCTTCCTGGTCTGGAAAGCGCTTGGCCCAGGGGTGGGGCAGGTGGGTGTCCTCTGCGTGCTGGTGTAGAGATTTCTTTTTAAAAAATGTATCTTTTTAAAAACTATAATCCTTGAAAACCTAATGACTAAGTTAAAGGTATGCCCTGAACGTGGACAGGCAGGATGAGGCCCTCACTGCTCCGCGTCGCCCTACAAGCCACTGCCGTCTGGTTCCCTCCACACACGGGAGCCTGGGGTTTCTCCGACGCGCCCCAAATGGCGAAAACGGGCACGACTGCAGAATACAGCTTCGTGGGCGTGTCGCGGGCCAGGACCTGACAAGGGTTCCCTCCCGCTCAGCGTGTGTCCTGTGCCCTGCTCACCACAGCTGGTCACGAAGCAGCCACAGGACACCCAGGTGTGTCCTGATGGGCAGAGGGCACATGCGCACCCCTCCCCCCCACACGCCCCCGGGGGCGGGCCGGACCTTTGAACTCCAATTTCCTGTCAACTTAGGCAATTTCACGTTTTATCTTTGTGATAAAGATTACAAATCCTGTTACGGTTAAAACGCTTTTGGCCAGTGAAGCGCGTGGCAGGAAGTGAGTGGTCTCTAACATTAGAATCACGACCCCTGAACACACGGTGCATGTGGACACGTGCTTGTGGACCAGCACCGCCGCCCCGGGCGTGGCCGGCTGGGGACACATCCTCCACGATGCTTGGCGCCGGGTACCAGCCTGGGCAGGGCTGCAAGAGCCCGGGAGATGGGGAGGGAAACCTGGAGAGCAGACTTAGCAACTCATAGGCTATGCCTCCTTTCTTCCCAGTCGGCACCCTAAGTCCTGAGGCCTCACGGTCCACACACCCACTATTTCCAGGAGTCCTAGATCCCAGGGCCGCTGCGCACCTCGGGTCCAGTCCACACAGGTCCCTCTCTGACATGTCTGCATGGCTCGGGCCCCTGACCTTGGCGACTGCAGCGGTCACCCAGAAATGCAAGGTCAGGGCCACGTCCCCAAGGACACCCGCCATCCTCTGCAACTTCAGAACATAGTGACCTAGTTAGTGTACAGAGGAGGTCATGGTTAAAGAAAAAAGACACACACACAGGCCACGACCCATCCAGCCCAGGCCTCAGAAACGCCCCTGCGAAGCTGTTTTGTTAAGCATGGACAAGCGATAGCTCTGAGTCTATCACGATTACGCTCTGGGTGTTCTTGACCTATAAAGAGGCAGGCGGTGTCTGTAGAAGTCACAAAGGATGCTGCTCTGGGACAATCCTGGTGACAGGCTCCTCCAGCTGAATGGGGGCAGAGGGAGAGTACGGGGCACCGTCCCCTTGTGCGCAGAGGCAGAGACCGCAGGAGCCACAGGGTTTGGAGCAGGTCTGCACTGGCCACGCTGGTCAGGGAAGCCACACAGGTGCCACTTGGCCCCGAGGACAGACAGCGAGGGGGCCCCGCCAACCCCTTGCTGACCAGCTGAATCTTTCACTCATCAGCAACCTTTCTTTCGTACAAAGACACAGCAATTTCTTATAAACATGGGATGGTGACGATTCTAGAAAACGGTTGAAATGCCCGACATTGAGCTGCTACAAGAACTAAAAAGAACCGGTACGTGGACACAAGGCCAGGGTGGCACCTGGGACGTGGCTGGCCCCAGCGACCCATTGCGCGACCGCACACAACGAAGGGTCCCTTCACTATTTTAGCGATTGCTTTTCTCAGACTTGAGGGGCGCCGGCAGGAAGCCCGCTTGCTGTAATTTACTCCACCATCCAAGGGACCCCCTCCATAACACGCCGTGCTGTGGTTTTACCCAGAGCCCCCGCGACCCGCATGCTTACTTTCTTCCGCGAGGTCGTTCTCCTCGGCCTCCCGTTCCATCTCCTTACACCAGCCTTCCATCCTCTTGGTCTCCGTGTGCAGCAGCTTCAGGAACCAGGAGCCGTCCCTGCGGCACGGGGACATCCTCCCGCTGTCCGCGGTGTCGGTGGCCGGCTCCAGCCAGGGCTCCGGCGGGGGCAGGTTTGCCGTGTCCACGGGTGTCCGGTAGTCTTCTCGGTAGCTGAAGAGCCCCTGGGTGCGCACAGTCCTCAGCGCCCCGTACTGCGTGGGGGTGCTGGGCTCCGAGTGCCGCTGGAAGGAGGACCCGAACTGGAGGCCCTTGTCCTCCATGGTGATGTGTCCCGGGAAGCCCTCCAGCTCCAGGTCCGCCTGCACCGCGGCCGTCACGCTGTTGGAACGCTTGAAGCGTCCGTGTCTGCACAGGAGGGAAGGAAGACAAACGGAAGCCTTTCTGAGACGACGTTGTGCAAGGAACCAAAGTGCAGCCGGTAAAGGACACGTCTCACTGAGGACTCAAGGGCCCCAGCGTCTGCAGCTTCGTCAGGGGTATCTTGGTGTTTCCTCTACGAAACAACACCTGGCTTTGCAAATAATGAGCCGCTAACATCTACCTAAGTCTCAATGTCTAAACAGCACCCCCTAAAATCTGAGTCAATTGCAGGACACAGTGGGGTCACTGGGCTCCGTGAGGCCACCATCTTGGACGGTCCCCTTCCTCTCAGAAACGTGTACAAGTTTACACGGCCCCCACGGAAAGCCTGTGAAACGAAGCCCTGAGTTTCTTCTTTTTTGTGGTGGCCACTGTGTCCTGCTGATCTGTGGTCACTAACCACATCACATGTCAGGGCTCAAGTCTCTTCTCCCAGCTGAACAACTTGGTATCATCCTCACTGAATCTTTTATGTAAATTAATGAGTGCAAACCTGACTTCAGCAGGGTTTTTTTTTTCAATTGGGGAATTGGGGGAGGGGAACAGTGTTGGGGAATTGGGGGAGGGGGACCAGCCAAGTTGTTGTTCTTCAATCTTTGCTGTGGAGGGCGCCAGTCACTATCTGGCTTCCTGTCGGCAGCTCATGGCCTCTAAGCTCAAGATGCTGTGTTACAATCTTAGTTGTGGGTGGGCGTAGCCACCATCCTATGCGGGAGTTGAACCGGCAGCCTTGTTGTTAAGAGCGCACGCTCTATCCACTGAGCCATCCGGGCGGCAGCTCAGCTCAAGGTGCCGAGGTCAGTCTTATGCGCGGGTGGGCATAGCTCACCATCGAACAGGCAATCTTGTTGTTACATCAGCTGAGCCATCCTGCCATTTGTTGGCAGCTCAGCGGCAGCTCATCTCGGGCGCAGCTCACTGGCCCATGTGAGAATCGAACCGGCAGCTCTGTTGCTCAGAGCTCACGCTCTTAAGCCGACTCTTAACCAAATGAGCCACTTGGCTGGCCCCAGCGGGAATTTTACAGACATTTGCATCGTATGTATGTGAGTGTCACCCATTTACACATAACTAATTACTGAAATGACTGACAGGAACACGCGTATAATTGGAGTTCAGACATGGATGGATGAAAGCTATGTGAGTGTGCACACATCCGAACTGTACCCAGCTATGCGTCTGGCCCCCCACCCTGAACCGGCCCGCAGATGGCACTCAGCTGTGACTGCAGCTGCCGCTGAATTTCCAGCTTATCCCTCTGCTGGAGGAGACGGACAACAAGCTGCCGGTGGGGACGGAAGCAGCAGCTGGAACCCCAGGCGCAGACACGCCTGTTTCTAAGAGGTCTACTGGAAACCCGGGGAGCCATCGGTTTGGTCTGAATTTCCTTTCTGTCAAAATCTTTATGGGCTGGGCCTGAAAACCCTCCACTCTGAGCGACGTCGCCCAGGGCTTTACCAACCAGATGCTGATTGAAGTCCCAGGGGTAATGTGCTCATTAAAATGTATGGCTTTTATAAAACTTACAGGGTATGCTAATTTAAATATAAAACAATCAGCCTGCTTGTTACAAAAATAACAGCACTGTACTGGACAGCTCTGTGTTTTAGTCAGAGGTGGTCCTGTTACGTGAAACAATCATGAAATAGCTAAGGTCCTAAGCTTTCATTCTCTCCCCGTTTTCCTTTTTTACTCTTCACATGATAAGGTGAGAAAACACGGCTTTGCTTCACCTCAGCCTATGTTTTCCCTTTGGATAAAGGACCAACTTTCCAAGCTGTCAGCCCTCTGCGGTCAAGGGTGGCAAATTACTTTAGGAAGACTCACCCCTGCCTCTTGCAAAAACAGGGCACGGGCAGATATCGGTTCATACTTGAATGGGGGAAACAGAAAAACACAACTACATGACTGCGTCTCCACAAATGGTGTGAGTTACCGACAGTCAGCATGACCGGGAGGCCTGCGGCCGGCCGGCCTCTCACCCACTGCTGAGCAGCGCGAGCCACAGAGGCTGACTTACCGCTGCGCGTCCTCCACCTGCACGCCCACCGAGTGGTACTCCCGCAGCCCGCGGCTCTCCGTGTCGGAATCTGCCGCGCTTTCCACCTAGTTCAACACAGAACACCCCGTTTAGAGCCGAGACGAGGGACCCCGCCAGGGACTATCTTTCTGTGTGTTCATGTGCTGGGATTAATCACATGTGTGTCATTAATGCAGAGATGCACTCGACCTGGTAACATCACAAACAGAGGGAAAGGCACGCACGTTGGTGTCATTTTGCTGCTACTGTGTTTCGTCAAATATTACACAACTGCTTGAACTCAACCCTGCACTTTGGTCTTTTAAAGGCAAGCAAATAAAATCACTTAGTTCAGCTCAGGCAAATCTGGCTTCTTCAGATTGCATTATTATAGGACTTATCATATTATATAAGGTCTTATCACACCCCACAGTGAAGTACGTACAGCAGGAAGCAGACAGCGAACGACAAGTAGGCGACTCGATAGGACTGTGCTGATGGTGGCAGCCACACAAACACTCCGAGGGGAACCCAGGCCTTGAGCAGGGGCTCCGAGGTGGTGGCCCCCACCAGCCCCATGCGTGGCTGTCACCCCTGCTAATAGGACTATACCCAGCAGGGCGAGAAAGGGGACAGGGTCTGTGCATGCGACACAAGGTCCTCACTGGCTGTATCTGCCTCCAAGTCTCCCCAACCACAGACGCTGTAAGGGTCGTCAGCTGGAGGACTTCTAGCACAGCACATTTTCTAAAACAAAAAACAAAAATCCGCAAACCAAAACCCAGAGCTCTCAGTATGAAAAGTCTGCGGAACCTAAGGTGAGTTTAGTCATAAATATTATCCCAGCTACTCAACTGTCCCTTTCCTTTTTCACAGAAAATATTGCCTATTGTATTGATAGGACTCCAAGCGCAATCCAGAATATCGTAACTAAGTTGCAAAACACGTCTTTCCTTAGAAATATTGAAGGATAAGCTACAAACTATTACGCACGTACTTATGTGGGTTACGAGAGAAAAGGCACACTTAGCCACTGGCATCGTAATCTGCGGCTGCGCAGAGGCTAAGTGAGGCCATCGAGGCCGACTAGGTCTGTGGCTCACAGAAGTGATGGCGCTGCCCGCTGACGCTTATTCTCTGTCCCCAGGCACCAGCCCCTGTGCAAAGAGCAGAACAGATGTTTTGCACACAGTGCACTGTTGCCTCTAGCCACACGCAACAGCTGAGGGGTCAGAGAAGGTGAGTAACTTCCCCAGGGGTGCACAGCTTGTCGGGGGGGGGGCAGAGCCAGCTTCACGCCTGGGTCTCTCTGGCCTGAGCCACGGGGAGGCCCCCGAGGTCGCAGTCAGTCACTGAGCCGTGGAGAACGGTCGGGCCCCCCCATTCTTCACTGGCATAATTCTGAAAACATGCACTGAAGTTGGCCGTCTGTGCAGCACGTTTGACAGCTGGGAGAGGCAACGGGCCAGCTGCAGGAGGAAGAACATGCTTGAATGAAAATCCTAGCCGTGAGATCACATTTCTCCTCCTAGTTTTAGGTGGGCCACGGTTTTAATGCATTTTATTTGTTATTCATGCTGGGCGTGGGGGTTATTTTCACTATTATTTTACACAGACGATCTCAATAAAAATCAGTGTATTTAGGGTTGTGTCCCATGTCAGGACAGATGCTCCCTGAGCTGTAGCTGCCTGCTGCTCCGTTTCACGATGTAACTCAGTCTTCACTGGAGGGAGGATTTATTTATTTTTAGTTTTCTGCCGTTATAAATGCTGCTGCTATAAATACATGCCTGCACGTGTGTGTGAACGCAAGCTTCTGCGAATACACTCACAGCCAATGTGTTTGCTGGGTCAAAGGTGTCGCATTCTACAGTTTGGGTGGATACTGTCAAATTCGATAGATACACAACGTGGGTGAAATCAGTCCATAAGTATGCTTTTAGAGACATTTTTCTAATGGAAAGAGCACTCATTTTTATCATAAGGATGTTCAGAATATTTGTCACTTTTAGGATTCTAGTCTAAAGAAAGTATCTTGAACTCTGACAAATGTGTGAGGCTTTCATCATCGCATTATTTATAAGGTGACATGGGAAAATTAGGGATGGCAAAGTAGAACAGCAACACGCAGTGAATTAGCACTTAGGACAGAGCACGGCCTCCTTCCTGCGATGATGGTTGTAAACACTTATCGTGAAGGACGCTTATGCTACAATGTAGTCTGAACAGGGCACGTTACGGGCGGCGCGAATAAAGATGTGTGTGTACACGAAACACACACAGATACGTAAACACACTATGTAAGTGACTACGAAAGACAACCCTGATGGAACAGGGTTTGCTTCTTCCCTCCTCTAGTCCCCACATTTTCTCTATTATAATTATCTTATTTTTATAGCGAATGAGAACAATATAGCTTTTGGAGCCAGTCAGATTGGCCGCGGGACTCTGAGGTAAGTCTTTAAATTCTGTTGAGACCTTTCTTCCTGATCTTAAAATTGCGGGAACACCAAACACCTTGCTGGCCTGACGAGGAGCTCTGCACAGGAGGCCGGACCCAGGTAAGTGAGTCCACACGAGAACCGAGGCCTCTCCTCTCGGCTCTAAGGCCGTCGGGCTGTAGTGACATGGGCATTGCGCTCAAGGCCTGGAACTTTCTGAGAAAAATGAAGGGAAAGGCTGAGGGGATGCAATAGAATCATGTACAGCAGGATGGGCAATCTATTTATCAGTTTCAGGAGTCCGGGGCGTAGACAGCTTTATATATTATGGATGGGGGGGGGGGAAGCAAATTTAGGAAAAGAAAAGGAATTTCTATTTCGCACATGGGAAAGGAAATCAAAAGACTCTGCTCCCAAGAAGGAATTCTGGACACAAGTGGAAATGGGTTTTAAAAGCTTTGAGCAATGAATGCACGCTTTCATTTTCACGAGACCCAGGTATTCTAGGCCCTGAGGAGACGCCGAGGCAGCAAAGGCGCTGGGTCTTCAGTGACCTGGGTCTCTGGCAAGTGCTGTGTGAGGGCTCACCACGGAGTGGGGGCGCCTTCTGAGAGGGGCGTTCAGGCCCCAGGGGACCCGGAGCCCCCATGTCACTCCCCAGGCCTCGTCAGGCCCCGATGACAGGTGGGAGGGAGGCCTTCCTGAACGTGACCTGTCTGGGGGACAAGGAGTTCCGTGTGGCTGGCGCGTGTGCGCACATGTGTGAGAGAGAGCGTGTTGTGGGGTGTGAGCTGGGAGCAAGCGGGGCCCCGTGTGCCCTGGTCCCCGCCTCGTGCGTGGCCTGGGTTTGTGGGAAGTCAGGGCTGATGAGCTGTCGTCTAAGCTCCAGGTTTCTGAGGGACCTGAATGGGGACCCTGGCAGGAGCCGGTACCAGCACCACCGGCCTGGAGCGCGGGTCTCAGCCCAGCTCACCGTAGCTGCCATTGAAAGCTTGCACGTGGCCGGCAGGGGCACGGCTGACACAAAGGTGCTGCATTCCCGCAAGACCTTTCCTGAGTCCAGACTTAAACATGATTTGCAGCCTGCTTCCCTGAAGGGCTCGGAGCCCCTGGGGGACGCGTGGCCCAGGCTGCCAGCGGGACCATGGTTCGTGGGTAAACCTACATTCTCAGGGACGACACTGACACTGAACAGTAACAGGCATTCCGAGGCCGCCACCCATCACCTGCAAGCTGGGGTGACGGCGGTGACTGCTCCCAGTTAAGCACCGGGCTACTGAGGCAGGCGGGCTTGAAAGGTCCTGGGTGGTGCAGCCAGCGGCGGGGTCTGGGGACATTCTACAAACACACACACACAACGGAAAAGGAAAACCTCTGCAATGCAGACAAGTCGCACATAAAACCACACACGAACACAGAGTAGTGAGACGTCACCACTGGGCCAGGGCAGGGGTTCGGTCGGATGACAGCCCGCTGGGCCTGCAGCTGTGACCCAAGCCCAGGAGACAGGCGTGAGTGGCCTGCGGGGACGGGGACAGAGGGCACCGTGGCCGCACGTCGGTGGCTCACTCAGGGCCTGAGGACACGTGCAGCTGTGTGAAGTCTCGTCGGCAGCACACGGCAATTCCGTCCCGTCTGCGTGCAGACTGCCCCCTGTCCCCGCCCTGTCAGCGGTGGCTCTGGGAAGGGAGCCTGTGGCCAGGCCAGAACCAGCCCACCAGAGCCGCTCGGTCCTTGTCTACCAGGGGCCAGAGAGTGGCGTGTGCCCGAGCTCAGACCAGACACAGGTGGCTCACAGGACGGCTCCCGCCCCCGGCCCATTTCCTTTGGGACCATGGGCTGCGTCTTTCCACCCTCCTGGCTTCAGTCTGGCCATGTGCCCTCAGGCAGGTCACTTACCCTGAGCCTCAGTTTCCCCACCTGTAACCCGGACGTGAAAACGACTGGCTCATGGGGTCGTGATGATGGCACGTGGTGAGGAGCCCAGGACAGTGATGTGTCCACGGCCTTCCAGTCCACGCGTCACTGTCGCTACCTGACTTGGGGCCTGACAACGCTGACGCTGCCCTCGGCACTGTTCCCGGGGCTCCTGTGTCTCGCGCCAGCCCTTCCTTCTGTCTCTGCGTTCCTCCCCGAGTCGGCTGTCCACCCTCTTCTGCCTTCACACCTGGGGGGGCTTCTCCTTCCCCTAACACTTGAGTTTCTGTGATGATGTTTTTTTGGCTTTTTAATGCACTTCACTGTGCCAGCAGGCTACGAGGGCACGTAGGGTTGTGTCCTCTCTGCTGTGGAGGACAGCGGACGCCGTCAGACACGTGCATTCTTGCACCCACACTTGTCTCACTGCCCACTCGCCCGCCCACACACTCCCCACATTTACAAGCACTCGCTATGTGCCAGGCGCTGTGCTGGGCGCTGGGTTCTCAAGAGGCGAAGGGATGGCCTGGCCGTTGCTGAGCACAGTTTGGGGGACGGTGTCCAGACAGGCTTCCAGGAGGGTCAGTGTGCGAGCTGTGTGCCAGCGGGCGGTGCAGGGTGTGAGTGGGGAGCGGGGCGTCCTCCACCAGCCCAGTCACCTCAGGCGACGGGTTTGGAATTATGTCCCCACTACATTCACATAAGTCAGGACACGTGCTCAGAAGGTGACACCCCACCCTTCCTCGTGGTGGGAAGGCAGCCGGGAGAAAGGCTGGGAACGTGAGGGGAACAAGGGTGCATGAGCCCCAAGAACACGAAGTCCTCTGGTTAATTTGGGGACCTCGCGTGTGTCTCGAGCTGTGACTGGCGGCCAGGATGGTCGGCACGAGCCCTGACTGCCCCGCGTGCAACGCTGTGGCCACAGCAAGTTCCTGGACTGTGTGAGGCCCCTGCATCGCCACGGGCGGGGGGCTTCCCACATGGGGGTGCCAGGGTCTCCTGCACTAATGGGGGCTCCCAGCACAGTGCCTGGCATATAGAATCAGGACAGGTGACAAGAGCAGTTGTATGGACAGTCCAGAAAAGGGGGATAAGTAAAATTCATGCGTTCTGGGCTGTGAGCGTTTTGTACTTACATCTGACCTTGGGTATGGCTGACGCTCTGGGAATTCAGAGTCCTAAACAAAACAACGAACCACAGTGTGGGGGCCTGGCTTGGAGGACCGGCCAGCGGCGCCCCCCCCCGCCTGCTCCCCGTCCGTCGTCCACGGGCGCCCAGCACGTCCCCTCGCTCGCTGGGGTCAGGGCTGCTCGCCCTCCTCCCTGGTGGCTGTGAGGCCCCCTGAGTTTTAAAACTTCTGCTGGACACAGGCAGGAATGAGAGAGGGATAGCATCTGCAAAGGACTTGGGGACCCTGCCTCTGTGTCACAGGATCTGGTAGGGGACAGTCGCCGAGACAGATCAAGGGGAAGTTTCATTGGGGTGAGTGGTGTCCTGTGCCGTCCCTGGGCTGGGAAGTGAGCGGGAAGGTGGCCCCGTGTCTCAGAACAGGCCCCTCACCCTGTGCTTGGAGTGGACGTGCTGGACCGAGTGAGGGGCGGGCGGAAGCCGAGAGCGAGACGGCAGGGCCCCGAGCCCAGGAGGGCACCGCCAGGTCTGCGTCTCGGCAGGGGCTTGGGACCCCGGCGGTCTGAGACCCTGACGAGCGTCCCAAAGGAACCTGGGCGGCCCCCATGGAGTGACGCTGGGTACTGTCCCCACTCCTGTCCTCCCCCCACTTACCTGTTTGGCCACAAGACTGGAAAGCTTTGAACATCAATTTCAACAAGAAATTCCTTCTGAAGCATCAGAGCAACCTGTTTCCATGCTAAGCAGCCAGTGGCCCCTAGACAACGCGCTGGGTGGGGAGGGGACCTTTGGCAGCAGCGAGGGCATGGGACGGGGACCTGAGTGGCCCTGGGGGGCCGCCTGTCTACCACACCTACAGGCTGGCAACACAAACGGAGACCCGCCTGGCACCTCCGGCCCTCAGGGGCCTGTGGTTCAGCTGGGACCAGCCGCGCTCGCAGAGCTACCTGGACGCCGATGGAGGAGCGTGGGCCCCGGAGGAAGTCCTCGGCCTTGGACACCAGGATGGCCTTGTCGTTGGTCCGCGCCGGGCCGCTCTGGCTGTCGGGCACGTGGCGCTGGGCGGCAGCTGTCTCCAGGGCCAGGCTCATGGCCTTGTTGCTGTCCAGACTGTCCGTGGAGTTGTAGAGGCCATGGCCGTCCTGGGGCCACGGGCACGTCCTTTGGGCGCGGCTGTCCTGGTAGGCGTCCTGCGTGGACTCCGTGCTGCTCTGCGCCGTCACCGAGATCAGTGGCTTGGAGGTGGTCCGTGGGGGCACGGGGGGCGGCGTCTTCTTGTAGCTCGTGTACGAGACAGCTGCAAGAACAGAAGCCGAGTCAACAGAAGCGGACGGCCCCTCCACCCCCACATGGAGATCCGGTCGGCGGCGGCCCACGTCCACCCCAGGACCCATCACGCAAGTCCGTCCCCAGCATCTAGCCTGAGGAAGCGACCGACACGGGGGATGCTGTGAGCAGAAGTCTACATGCACACGCTCCCAACCGTTACGAGGACCTGAGAAATCTGGCAACGGCGACAAGGCAACCGCTCCGTGCGTTACACGCAGCTCACGGCATTGGGGATGTGCTCGTTCTGTGAGGCTGGCAAAAAGGCAGGATACACGAAATTGCCTCAGACTGAGAGAGAGCGTGCTTGTGAAAGATGACAGGCGCCTACGACCGTTAGTCAGGACCCTCACTGTGTGACAATATGGGGACTGTTTGCTCTTCTGTTTTCTGTACATCCTAAAAATGTTTATAATGAACAGGTATTCCTTCCATAATGGAGAAAATATGCGTACGTAACATGAGGAGGTTGTTTGCTCCCATGAGTACTCACTTCCTGGGGATAAACACAGTCACTGAGAAGGGCCACCAGGTCTCCAAATCCATCCTGACCAAGTCCCCTCCCCTCTGGCCCATAAGCAACAGCTTCAGCCCATTCACCCCGCCTGGCACACACGGGCCGCGCACCAGCTGCACACGGGCTGCACACACAGGCTGCACACGGATTGCACACACGGGCCACACACACACAGACCGCACACCAGCTGCACACGGATTGCACACACGGGCCGCACACACATGGGCCGCACACACGGGCTGCACATGGATTGCACACACGGGCTGCACACACAGGCCACACACATGGGCCGCACACACATGGACTACACACACAGGCTGCACACGGGCTGCACATGGATTGCACACACGGGCCGCACACATGGGCTGCACACGGGCTGCACACACATGGGCCGCACACGGGCTGCATAGTGACTCCCTGAAGCAAAGCCGAAGCATTTGGAGGTGGGACTGTTAGGTGTCTGGTAGAAGCTGCCCAAGATTTGTCAGGGGCGTTTGCCAGGCTCAGGGCACCACTGTTGTCACAGCAAAGGACGGGCAGTCCTAGCACCTGTTTGTAGGAGTCGGTTTCCCATCACTGCCGGTTATTTTTCTGTATCTGGAAACGAAGAACCGACAGAAGCGCTTCTGAAAGGAACCGGGGTGCCCACCACAGTGTCAAGCGACACAGACGCACCCCACGCGTGTGCAGACTGAGGGCTGCTGGCTGGCTCCGCGCCCAGACGTGCACAGAGCACAGACGTCCTGGCAGGGGCCGAGCATGTCCGTGGGGACAGGCTGAGCAAGGCTCCTCTAGGGACTGAGTCATGTCCTGCTGCGGAAACCCATTTCCACTGCTCTGTTCCCGGGGACTTTGACGTCCCCTCCTATTCATCATATTGTTTAATCTGTGTGGCTGGGTTTTCCTAATCGATACTCAGATAAACATGGGCAAACAAAACAAAATGAGTTTTTCATGTCAGGACGATAGAGTTTTAAGGCGTAAACTTGTACGAAAATGTACGAAATGGGTACATTAAAAAAAAAACGCATGGGAAAGATCTGAGGGCAGGAAACAGATGGAGGAAGGCTAATTTTAGAAAGGCGGCTTTGAACTTTGCCTACACCAGAAAAACATCTAAAATCATCTATTTTTTTGAAGACTTTTCCTGTGAATATGAAACAACCTCTAAAGGAAAATGGTTGGAAACAGCTGTATTCCAGGCCTGATTCTAGGAGACTCAGGGGTGCCCATGGCCAGGGCCCGGCCTCGAAGCCCAGCCTCTCCGGCCCCCGGGCGGACTCTTCCTCCTGGAAGGCGCCTCATGCCGCCTCCTATCCACCTTGTCACCTCTGCCAGAGTCTGTGCCCTCGGCCAGGTGACTTCACACCCTCACCCACGGCCTGTCCCGCCCACCCTTGGTGTGAAAGTGGCTCTAGTATTTTGGTTGGTTTAAGGGGCCTTTTGTCTCCACCTGATCTCAGTAAATCCCACATGTGTTCACCCTCGACCTTGCGGTCCTGAAGAAACTGCTCCAAGTCCTGGGTCAAAAGGACAGTTTGGCGGGAAGGTGGGAAGGGGTTGCAGCTGGGGACGCTGCTGGCAGAGTGGAGAGGAGGGAGGGAAGGAGACTGACCCACGAACACTGGGCCCCAAACACACAGATTTATCTCGATCATCTGCAAAAGGCTCTGTGCTAGACGGCACTGCCCAGGAGCACAGCCACGAGCCGCGTTTCATAGACCTAAACTGCTAAGGTGTCTAAACACCTAAACCACAAG